ACCTCATCCCTCTTCAAGGTGAGGATAAAAAATTCTGGGTCTCAGAGAGAGAAGTGAAACAGAGACTGCCTCCCTGCCTCGGCAGCCAGAGCAAGTCCAGAGATGCCTGAGAATGGCCGTGCCTCGCTGCGGCTGGAGGAGCTGAGCTTTGCTGGAAACACTGAGCATGCCAAGGCTTCCCTTGGCTTCCTCAGCGAGCTTTCTGCCTCTGTTCCGGGACAACTCTCCCGGCTGCCGTGCGGCTCCGCTGCCAGGAGATGGAGGCTTCGTCCCGCTGCATCACACGGGTGCCGCGGGCTTCGTCCCTGGGAGAAGCCAGCAAAGGCACCTCCATCTCCCACCTCGGTGAGCTGAGAGGGGATGCAAGAAAGCAGAGGGACAGGCAAACAAAAGAACAGTTCATGTCTCCTCTCAGGGTTTCAATAACCATGACTGAATAGTGGCTGAAAAGACGAGTAAAAGCACATCGAACACTAGCATGGACTGTAGCTGAAGCCCTTCCAAAACTGAAGTATTTATACAGAAAGCAGGAGACACAGCTAGGAAAGGAGCTTTAAACATGGTGTAAACCCAGTAACCGCACTGGAGCTCCCCAGGTGACCCCAGTGAGCCCGTATTTAAATAAAGCCTGTGACAGTCACAGCGGGAATTTCGCAAGTATTTCCCCTGGCAGAACTGATCCTGGTCTCTCTGTTTATTTTTGTGCCAAAACAGAAAGAACCTTCAGACCCTCGCCCACCAGAGAGTATATGTGCAGGGCCACCTGTCCCCTGCCACCACACGGTGCTGCAGAAGGGGAGCGGTGGCAGGGACGTGTTCCTTGGTGCCACCTTCTCCATCTGGCCTCGGGCATGGCTCCCCGTGCCAAGGCTCCCCGTGACGCAGACAGCTGCCGGCCGTCCTGCATCCCACCTCCCTCCGACCTCTCCACAGGTGTCAGCCAAGCCAAAAAACCCTGCCTGTCCCCAGCTTCACCGCCTGTGTCCCCGCTGTTGCACACAGAGCAGCCACCTGCTGCCCACGCAGCTCTTCTGGGGTGCTGCCACCTGCCTTGGGGCAGTGGGGCAAGAAAAAAAAAAAGCTGCCTTTGCACTTCAGCATCCAATTCTGGATGTCAGAGAGGAGCTGTGCATCACCCTCACAGCCTGTCACTCCTGCAAGGTGGCTTTATCTCCTGGGGGACACTGGAGGGGCGAGGTGGCACCCCTCGTCTCTGCTCCCCTGCCGCAGAGCTTCTCTGAAGATCTGCAGGTGACACATCCACCACCAGCTGTTGCTCCACTGAGTCTGGCAGGTGGCAAGTGCTCAACCTAACCTCTTGGCAGAAGGACAAGCATTAATTTTTGCAGGTGGAGGAGGCCAGGCTCCACTCCCTTTCCCCAAAGACCGGTACAAACCCCTCCTGTTGGCAGCAGCGCTCCTTTCTGGAGCTCCTTTCTGCCAGGCTGCAGAGGTGAACCAAGAACAGAGGGATGAGAGGGCAGGAAGAGGAATTTCGGGGAGTATTTTCTGAGTGTTTTGCTTGGCCAGAGCTCAGCTCCTCACCCTTCCACCCAGCCCACGGACTTCTGCTCCCCAAAGGGCAGAGGATAGAGAGGGCTTGGAACTCCCAGCCCCTTTCCTAGCCTTGATCCTGAACCATCCCTTTGGGGAACTCGCAGCACATTACGGAACAGAGGCCTTCAAACATCTCTTAGTCCTTATCACAGAACCACAGAATGTCAGGGGTTGGAAGGAGCCTTGAAAGATCATCTAGTCCAGCCCCCCCTGCCAGAGCAGGATCACCTCGAATAGGTCACACAGGAACACGTCCAGGTGGGGTTTGAATGTCTCCAGAGCAGGAGGCTCCAGACCCTCCCTGGGCAGCCTGTGCTAGGGCTCTGGCACTCTCACAGTGAAAAAGTTTTTTCCAATATTTTTGCAGAACCTCCTATGTTCCAGCTTGTACCCATTGCCCCTTGTCCTGTCACTGGACATCGCTGAAAAGAGCCTGGCACCGTCCTCCTGACACTCCCCCTTGATGTATTTATAAACATGGATTAGTTTGCTGAAGTAAAAACAACCAACCAACCAACCAACCAACCACTCACTTTTTTTTCAGGTAAGCTGTATCCACAGAGGAGAATCCCAACCTCAGTTAGGAGGGGTTGAGATTCCTTCTCCCTCGTGGGTACAGCAAAACAACCAGGAGAGCGTTGCAGCCCTCCTGCCTGCTCACCTCTGGGCAGAGCCAGCTCCAGCAGTGGGGCAAGAGCTCCTGAGGCTGGAGCCACGGGACCACGTGCCCTCCAGGGTAGCTTGTTCCAGTTAAACATCCTTCAAGTGAGAACAAAGTGTTTCTCCAGGTTGGCAAAGTCACGACCGACCTCTGAGTGCACATTGAGAGATCCTCACTTCTTTGTGCTTTCGCTCTTCTGCCTTTAAAAGGACCTGAAACGTTACGACCTAGCCCCCTGCCCAACATCTAAAGGATGCCAACTGACACCTCATGGAGAGCTGCTCTGGCTTCCCAACACCCTCTGTTCATCACAGGTGACCTGGAAGCAGGAGCACACACACTCCTGCAGATGAAGTGAAAGCTAACGTTTTTTCACCTTTAAACGATCTGGCAAAGCATGAAGACAGTACATGACAATAACTGATTTCTCAAAGTACCATCGACCTGGCCCAGCCTGCGGCTGATTCTCCTTTAAGGAGGCAGGTCCTCCTTTAACTTTCATGGCACCTATGGTCTTTTCTTAGCTCAATGACCTAGAAACTGCATTAAGATGTCAGGAGAACACGCACAATACACTGGAGAAGCCACTTCCCAAGGATCTGGGAAAAGGGAAAAAAAGAAAAATATTTCCGAGAGATATAAGAGATATGGTTTGGAGCCAGGGCACGCCTCATTCAGTTGTCAGAGGTATAAATAAACACCCCAAAGCCCAGCTTAAAAAGATATTGCTCAGTTAAAATCCACATACCCTATTCTGATCCCAGTGACATCAGTGGGTACAGCCCCTTGAAGTGTAAGCCCAGGGATGAAGTAATAAGCAAAAAATATTATCTTCCAAGATACACCCCAAAGAGGGGACAAATTGGTATTGAGCAATAAATCATTTTAATTAAAAGGACTTTACAGCTGGGGATACAGTGGTTGATTGGAGTAGCAATGAGGTAATGCAACGGGAACAGGTGGCTGCCTCACAGAGCCCCGTTCCACCACGAGCCCTGACATTTCAAGGAGGTTGTCATCAGGTATTATCCCACGACTGGGGCTTCGAGCAAGAGCCAAACTCTGTGCTTTTCCATGGCTACTTTCCAACACCCGTTGTGCCCAGGCTTTGTTGACGGAGCCACCCGACCAGCTGTAAATTGCTGGAGGCGAGAGCTCTGCCAGAGCAACGGCTCTTCGCGGGCTCTCTTTTATCACGTCTGGGACGGAGCTGGAGCTCGCTCGCAGGTTTGCAGAGCTCGTGGTGCGGCCGCCCGACTACTCGGTGATTACACAGCAGAGAACAGGCACACGTGGAGATAATCTGACAGAAAACGGAGCGTGTAAGTCTCAGCACTGGGAGTGGCACTTGCTTCCCTAATTT